CATTAGCACCTCTAGTAATATATTTACTGAGAAAAATGGTGACGTGTTCAATACTTATTTTACCCGCTGTATATATATATTTTAGATTCTTCTTGGTGGCTCATTGAGTCTGAAGGGAAAAAAAATGAAAAGCAGTTTTTTACTTTAAAAAATGTTTTGCCTTTTTTACATCTAATAAAGTGAAATATTTAAATAGCAACAGGCCTTCTAAATAATGGACAACCGTAACTGACCTGTAGTTAAAAATATTGGCCTAAAAATAAACGAATAAACTTGAAATGCATAAATTAATTTTAAAAAGGAGATCTTTCCCTCATATCTTATAACTTATTTTATTGACTTTCATATTTGTTTTTCCAGCTTAGTTCCAACAAAATTTAAATTTTAGTGCATAGTTAAAATTTTAGACAAATGCAAGGTTTTCTCTTTCGGTATTTCACATTTCATAAATCTGTAATTTGTTTGTTTTTAGCTGTTTCAAAGCATCATGRAATACTTTTTGTCTATTTAGAAAAAAGGAAAAAACTAAAGCTAATATTTCACTGAGCTGTGACTGCTGACGACYTCATATAGAAACAAAATTGCAAAAAGAATTGTGAATTTCCACTTAGTCACACAAAATTAGTATTTATGACATATGCATTCCTAACTGAAAATAAAATTGAAATTTGTGCAACATTCCCTGCGAATAACATCAAAACTCATAATTTAGTTGCACAGTCTTCATCTTGTCTTAAATTGATCACATATTTGATTTCGTTTGTATGTTTTTGTTTGGTTTAAGTCTCGTCAAACTGCCACTGTCTTGTACAAACTAAATGCTCACAGCGACACTTTTGGTTTGCAAATGAAACAGTTTAGAACCCTTGCAAACATTTCTAAAATCTTAGAAAATTCCCTCTCAAGTACTGTTTGTCAGCGACAGTCGCAATTCAGTGAGATATAGGCGTATCGCTCAATGTTACCGACTTGAAGCTTTTATTTAAATAGAATTTGAAAATGTTTAGTAAAATGACCTTTATTTGCCTAATGTMAGGAAGCAGATAGAAGCACTGACTAACTCACCTCAGCAGGTAGTACCTAACCTAATCAGTTTCTCTCCGTGAGAAAATGTTCAATTTGATTACCTCCCAGACCAAACTAAAAGGTAAAAAGGTACTCCGCAGCAGAATGAAACTCCTCAATAGCTGCTGCARAGCTCTGTCAGGGGTGAGGGAGTGGGAAGAAATTGCTCTTACTGGAAACCCAAATGCATTACCCAGTGCCTCAGCCAAAATAAATTGATTGGATAGATGGAGGAGTGGCTGGAGGCCACTGATCCTAGTGAGTCATTGGGTCTAGTGGGCACTCGGGGTTGAGTCACCGGTCGCACCAGAATGAGAGGTGTACCCCTGGGAAGCAATCRGATTGTTGATTTAATAAAATGCACCAACACACAAATCTACCTCCATATAAGCAGCATGTGTAAAACATGACGTTCCCCCTCCACCTCCAAATGAAAATAATAGTTTTGCTAAGCAGCAAAGTAAATTTATAGACATGTTGCAGCTTTTAATTTAAATTCACTTCCTGGTTTTCTTCAAGACAAAGCTCTTAATAAAAACATCATCTATATGGACTGCAGGAAAGATATCCGAGTGGCTTTTAACACTTTAATAAATGAGACTAAATAGATTTGAAAATACASTGTTCAATCTTTTGATTAGATTTTTTTATATAATCTTTGATTGTCTGCTACACAGTTTTCATTAAATAAGTGAACAAAGCTGAATCAGGTTGCCAGCAACTACGAGTCGTATGTGTACTTTCAGACACTGACGAGTACAGCTCAGACATTCTTGGTGTGAGACGGATAATAAAAAAAGGTAAAATAATTCATAGACAGAAACAGAGAGAGAGGAGAACAGTGGAGTCAGGGACAGCAGGTCAAAAGTGAAAAGGTAAATTTCTTCTCTCTCCTTAAAAAAATGTTGACCATAAGCTGTAATAATGAGTCACAGCGGTAGAATAACTTTTAAGCAATGGAAAGAATTAAAGCAAAATATGGGTTTAAGAGCTATTCCAAGATATTCTGAACTACTGATTGCTTAATTTAATTGTAACCAAAAGTGAGAAATATTTGCAGTTTTCTAATGAAWTTTTTACAAAGACTCTAATGAGTTTGAGTTATAATAACCAGCAAACAATCATTTAATKATGTAATGATGTGTTAGAGGCAAAATAACCAAAACATTGTAAAGTTTATTCATTTATTGCTTCATCTTTAAATGACAGACCTCTTTGGTCAGAAAGAAATTTGGCACCAATTGAGTGTCAGTCATTAACAGGACAATCACATCATAAAGTATCAAAGCAGAGATTTTTCTCACTTCCTCTTTTTTACCTTCACTGATAGGCCAAGCAAAAGAAGTGGAAGAAAGTGATATGGAAACCTCAAAGGTAGGATATAACTCGACAAGTCAGACACTTCACACCGCTGTAATTCATTACGCTGTGTAAATGTCAGGAAAAAACACAGAGGAGCAACGTGACAAGCTTTTTCATCTACCCATGTATCTTGTAATTGTCCCACACAATAAAATACCCAATCCTAAAGCATTCAGCATTTTTATGTCATATATAAAATGTTATTCTACTAGAMACCATGAGAGGGAGCTGTTCTCTTGAAATGTTTACCGACCAGCTGTCAGCACTGTCCCAGGCAGAAACACACCTGGGTAAGGTGGAATTTAGCTATCTTTAGCTTCAAAATTATATTTTTTTATGGGAAAAAATAGAATGAAGGAAACTAAAAGGAAAAGACTAATTGGGGTTAAGTGGATTTTTACTTTGGTGTGTAGATCAATGTTTTCATCGCTAAACACAGTGGTGTTCAGACGACTTAATCTCAAAGTAGAATCTTGCATTTCTATTTTGCTTTGTAGAGTTTAAAAAGCAGGGAGGATTACTTTCAAATGTATACTGTGTATTGTGTTTTTTATATCAGTTTTCCTTCAGCTGAAGCTGGTGTCTTGCTCTTAGTCTACCCACTGTATTGCACAGCTGTACTGGATAACCTGAATGACCCTTAAATAAATAATTTAGCTTCTTCTTTTGGTCATGTTCCAGTATTGCCTGTGTTTCCTTACAGGATGAACATATTGTGCAGCACACATTAACAGTCCATGCATTAATTAAAGTATGTCCTGCATTACATTCAGACTAGGTTTTGTCTTTTTTAAATCTAACCTCTGATGCTGAAGTCATGGTCAGAACAAATTTTTAAGCTTAAGACCTTTTACAGCAAATATAAATGCTCTATGTTACACCATTTTATTCAGCAACATATCATAACACACATTTTAAGACGTGTCTTGTGCATACTTTCATTATACTGTTCTTTTTTCAGTCTGGAAAAGTATAAAATATTCAGATTCCTTTTTGTCTCTTCAGTTTTTAGTTCTTGTATATATATATATATATATAT